GACTGCCTATGACTCTGTCTTTAAAAGGCGACATAAGATTCTATTTTGAAGGGCAACTTATGGTTCTGGATTAAAAGGCTACCTATAGTTTTGTTTCAAAAGGCTGTCTATGATTCTGTCTTTAAAAAGCGACATATGACTATATTTTGAGAGCCAACTTATGGTGATTGTAGTAAAACATAATAAACTAAACATATGAAAGTAGCGCTACGTACAATCTAACGTGGAATACAGATACAATGCCAAGCTTCACTCTTTGAGATGCACCTTAATCTATTGCACAATGATATCAATGCAACCATTAAAGCTGTCTCATCGTCTTGGCGGACAGAGTGTACCGTCGACCTCCCTTGTTATTGTACAAATCCTACTCTACACAGAAAGAGTTCGTATTTTATATTTGCATACGTCTCTCTGAATAAACCTCGGGACAATTTTCTTCACTGCCTATGGTTACTTAATACTTTATTGCTCGTTACTATTGGTCAGCGTTATCGGGATTACGTACTTGTCACCGAATGTTTGGACCGAGTAGCCGTCGATACCCGCGTTCTCAAAAGCCGCTGTAAGATGTGTCAGAATTAAAATGGGTGAGATGCCGATTCAAATATCTGCTCAATTCGGATCAATGTGAAGGATCAGGGCTATATGTATATTTATCGATATCAAGAAAATGATACCATGAGATATATAATACCACGATACCAGAACACCCCAAAGCTCACACAACAAATACAAATGCACACACACAACACACAAATAAATACACCAACACGCAGGAAAACATGTAAAATATCCATAAACACACACGCACAAACAAAATGCATACATACATACACATAACAAAAGCGTGCGTATACGCAAACGCACATACTCGGCCATGGACCCCACGCAAGCCTACATGGCCTCACAACACACAAGCGCAGTATACACCCATCGGCGGAGAGGTCGTTTTGTTGATGGCATGTAGTGCTCAATCAATTTATATAAGGGTATCCATGTGGCATACATACGCATGCGGTGTATTTGATGTATATGTATGAAATACACGCAGCAAATCATGTGATGAGCATCCGTGTGACATATATACATGAGGTGAATTTGGTACATCGGGAATGCTCACGCGGCAAATGATTGGATACTCTCAACACAAATAGAGTTTATACCCCGCACATGTACCGTACACATCCAACACAAATGAGATCGCTGAACATACCAGCAGGTATGCCAATGTCCGCTAGGAACCTCGCTTCGCATTCCGTCTGCGCATGATACAGAGGGTGGGCAAGCGTCGTGGTTGGGTTTAGTTATGGTGAGGGTGTATGCAAGTCTAGCTACGTAAAAATATTAACGTGCACGTCTCGATACGTGCCAGTACTGTATTTTAGTGGAACTACATAGCAAGCAAATTTAATAACAAGCTATATTGAGACTAGAGAGTGAGAACTTCGAACACGGCGTCCGCAGAGTGTTGGCATCTATATAAAAGCAATAAAGTGCTGACTCCTATGAAAAATGTATTTTTTTGATGGTACCAAGCAATTACCACAAAATTGAAAGAAAGATAAACTGAATGCGTACACATGACGTGCACAAGCCTATGCACGTCCAGATGTACGCGTGTCCATATAAACTTATACGTAGCTACACACACGCATCCTATACTATATACACACACACAACGCGAGACACATACACTTCGTAAGCCGCCCACAGGCAGCCCAAGTGCCACTATCCAGCGTGGTGTGATGATTTTTGAGGGGTCGTAGTACTCGCCGGTGTCACCATTCATACCACTTGGCAAGTCTATAGAGATAACATTCGCATCGCAAGTTTCCGCCCTAATGTGAGGTGTGAGGTGTCCAATGTGAACGTGTAATTCATGTTAAAATTGACATAGCTTGATACACCAAAAGTTCGGTTAGGTGTTTGTGTATTGTGCGAATATGTATGCGAGCATGATTCTTCTGATATCTCACATCTCAATCACGAAATCGAGTAAGTTTATGTATTTGCATAATATATACAAACTTAAAAATATATAACTGTACACATGTCATGAACCCACAAATAGTCCACCTACCAATCCATAAGCTCTGTGGCTAAGTCCGATGGTGCCGCATCCAACTCAATGCCACAGATCCCATCTACCACTAGATCTACAGCCACATCCCCCAGCGAACTGTATGATTAAAGAAAACAGGTACATCAATATAACAAGTCTATGGATAGAACTGGTGTATTAATAGAACAGGCTTACATATAGTACAGGTATATGAATAGAATAGGTATATCAAAGGAAAGAGAATGTCAATCGATTATAATGCACGGATTCGAAGCCACAGATACCATCTATCGATTATACACCACCACAACCACGTCATGACACAGGGCTATAAATAGTACAAGGTTGTGAATAAACTATATTTATATATATATATACATACATACACAAACACACACACACACACACACACACACACACATATACATACATACATACATAC